GCAAAATATCTCCGCAGCAAACTGCTCTCCGTGACTGTGCCTTGCCAGGTGGCAGAGAGGACGAAAACCCAACCAGGTCGCTCCTTCGACTATGCCAACTACGAGAGAATTCAATGATGCATCGCAAGCTGACCTGTTCTACCTCAAGCGTCAAGACACCAAGTACTCCATCGTGAGTCTTGTTGACGTTGGCCCTCAACGATGAGACCTCCGAGTCCTGCATCCAGGCCAAGCTCATGAGCGCCTTGCTCTTGTGGAACGGCGACGCGTCGTCATGAGGGGAGCTTGTGAAATCTACTTGGATGACCGCAAGCTTCACGATCGCAGCGGCGTCCGCATACGTCATCCCTCAACAGAACGCCACACCCTCTGTAGCAGGATTCACTCCGAGACAATGGGTCCTTGGCTACCAACCTGAAGCAGCACATCTCCTGAGCTCCAACCTGAACCCAGCTCAACTGGCCGGCAACAACCAGACCTTCGAGCACACACTGGAATGCAAACTTTCCAAATGGTCTTAACAGAATACGGATGTATACCGGTAAGCGCTAAAAAAGATAACGATGCGCGGCAAAGACCCTATCCAGCCACACGCGGCGCGCAAAATTTACTGAGGGCATGGAAAGTGACGAGAAAGCTTGTCAAAATGGAGGCTCGCTAGCAAGAGCGGCTAAGATAAACTGTCAAATACTGAAAAAATAAACGCGCGTGGAATGAAGGTATTGATCTTCTGGTTTCATACCTTACTAACAACAAGTTGTGGCTGGGGAAAACTTGTAGATACAAACGCATGATATGTCACATTGCTTCAAGGAACATTGCTTCTAGCACCTGCTTGCAACTATAGGCTGTTACGCCTGTGACCATCCAACAGCAACCGAAGTGATCCAGCCTCAAAAAACACTGTTAGAGTTCTTGTTCCCCGAATCTCCAAGCTTGAGCCGCCTTAAACACTTGGAAACCAAAGCAAAGCCTCTTACCAGGTTGCGCTGGGTTGCTGCGATTGCAAACCTTGCTCTGAACGCTTGAAGACCCACCTGGGACTAGAACTGGTGCTTCATCTGGGACGCAAAGCCTTCAAGACCCTTAAAGCAAATCAGAACCGCCCACTATGTCCCCGAAACGAAAAATCCACGACTAGTTCTTACAAATATTTCACTTCAGACCCAAATATTTCAGTAACAGCAATATGTTCTTCCCCGCAAAGATTTCTAGGAAGAGTTTGCCAAAATCTTGGACATTTTTACAGAGTGCACCGCTTTTGCGAGAATTGTAACTAAAGCCACGCAGGTTCACAAGAGCAGCGCCCGAGCCGCACACGAGCCGCTTCCGAGCCACTTCCAAGCCGCGTCCGAGCCACTGCCGAACAACAAAAAAGATAGCCGAACCACACCCGAGCCACTTCCGAGCCTCATCCGAACCACTGTGCAACATCAAGAAAATCAACATCTCTATCTATGCGCGGCTGCCGTTACAATTTTCTAGAAAGTCTAAAGAACGCCAACGACATCTTGCCAAAAGAAGTATGGCACGCCAAGTTTTGCGAAAACCGGCAAAACTCGTCAACGCTTGACTTTTAAGACCACAGGCTTCAAAAGCTGCAATGAAAAACTCTTCGCGTCTTTTTCCCATCTATCTATCAGGCTTCTGCAGCGCCCTTCAAGGTTTAATTTTGTGGTACATCGCAGGCTCAAGTCAATGATCCTTGCAGCCCCGCCGGAAGATATCTCCCATGAGTCGGAGAAGAGCCTTTTGGACCGCTTCAAGACTGGCCTTGGGTCGGCTGTATTTCCTTTATTGCACTTGTTCTTCTTGGAGCACAGCGCGTTCTGCATGGACGACCTACAGAGTGCTATGAACCAGGTGCGGCAACTGAAGTCTCGTGGTGTGACAAGGCACTTTGACCTTCGACGAGTCAATCGCCAACACCTGGAAACCAGCAAGGCATCGCCTTCGACTTGAGCCTCCAGCGCCACCAGACATCACTGCAGGTGAGTATACTCACCCACTTCAGCAGCCCATTCTGGTCATGCACCGACGTCTCCTCGGGCCAATGATGGACAGCTTGCATCCTTGACAGATGCGGCTCAAGTGCCAGCATCAAGACGCTCTAGGTCCCGGCCACCCAGTACACCTAGTGAGGAACCGGCGATTCCCACACCTCATGGAGACCAACACTTACCGTCAGAGCCAATGTCTACGGCGGCGCTCGATCCCGCCACTCCTTTGGCCCCATTCGCACTCGTGGCATCCCCGTGCCTGACTCTGGTGGAAGAAGTCTCGGTCGTTGTCGAGGTGGCGTTCTGGTCAGACTCTTCCAGGAGATCACCATCAGGTTGATCCTGGTGCTCATCGGACTCGACCTCGCTCAGTTGACGCACTGTAGTCAGAGCGTTGTGGACATCATCGATGGCAGTGCCAGTGCTCTTGACGTCAGCTCGAACATGACGAGGTGCACAACGGATCAACTTATAGGCCAACCAGTAGACATGCACCCAGAGTCGAACTCTTTCACGACGCGCAGGACCCAGCCATCGGATTTTGACCAAATCAGGTCGACGAGCATCACGCCAGAACGAAACGTTCTGACCCAGGTTGCACTCGGAGTTCCCCTGTACTTGGCTCCAAGGGCCCGGTGCAGGCGCCGATCAGCATGAAGTCATCGTGGCCGCCAAGTGTCCAGGCCTGAAGTTTTCGGAGAGCGTACTTCCAGCCAACTGTGGTTAACTGTGGTTGGTAGCCCAAGACCCATTGAGACGGCGAGTAACCAGCAACTGAGGGTGTTCCAGGATCTGAGGCACACGGTATCTTTCAAGCCAGCGGCGGTTTTGTTCTTGATGTCGCCGCAATAGATCTCAACAGATTTTTTTCAGAGGTGCATGGCGACGGTCCACAACTGCCTCGTGAGCCTCACCAGGTGCAACCTGATGTTCGATGCCATGGGTGGCGGTCCACTCTTCAAACAGATGGCTCAGCCAAGGACGACCTTCAGTCAGCAGGATCTGTGGAGGGGCCGAAGAAGTGACAAAGCCAAGTGCGTTCAAGGGCCTTCACATACCCCTCTGTCCGAACAAAGAAGACGTCAGCCTGAATGATGTGGTTGAAGATGGTTGTCTTCGGAAGCGACGAGGTTGCTGCTTCTGCAGGTTTCTTATATACTTGGCGCAAGCCACACAAACATAGGAAGCTGCGGCTCGTAGGATCTCCTCATTTGCACCGCGAGTGGCAGGTGGATGGCCAAGGTTGCGGCCTAGTCGTTGGACAACTCGAATCGCCTCCTGCTTGGTGGTTGCACGCAGCTTCGCAAGTGAGCCAGTGACATCCTTCTGCTCGGAGGTTGTGTGAGCAGTCTCCCACAGCTGCGGTGTCTCATCGACGGCCAAAGCAGCAGCCAATGTTCCAGCCATAGCCGGTTGATTGATAGTCTTCCATATACTTGGTTCGTGGACCAAGTCCAACAGCATGTCCTTCGAGGGCACAATGTTGATGATCGCCGTGACATTGAAGTGTCATTGCATCTTGAACAGCCTGCTTGGTCGCGAGGATGGAGGCGCTCTTGCGCACTGGTCGCCAGACGCCATCGTCGTCGAGGCAAGCTGCTCCGTAGCGGTGTTGATCGAAGTCTGCACGGCGGCCAGGTAAGGTCGCGAAAAACAGCCAATGTGTCCGCGCCGTCCACCTTCAACTTGCTTGAGGTACACACGGCGAGCAAACTGCAAGCGCCGGTCACGATGTTGTTGACGCGCTGCAATGAGAGCTTCTTGTTGAGCCGGGGCGCGTCTCGGCAAAGACTGCACGCGACTCCAAAGACGACATTCAGGAACCCATGGTACTTTATCTGGGGCAAGGACTCAGCAATCTTGGAGGTGCAAGCTGAGCCACAATACACTTCCCACGGGTCCTCGTAGTGCGCAGGTTCTTTGACGTAGGTGGAGAGGTCGTTGAGGTGTGAGCAACTGGACATCCATGGTGTTCAGGTCATGCCTCTTCAGGACACTGGTGTCCTTCTCGATCTTGGCGCAGTGCTCACAAAGAACAAAGCCGTGCTCTGACTTCTCGAAGTCGGCCAGAGTGAAGCCGTCACGCTGCATCATGTCAAACTCAGCAGTCTTCAACTGGAAGTCGGGCGAAGTGCGTGAGGTCATGCTCATTGCAGAGCCAAAGAAGGTATTCGCCCTGCCCTGCCTGCCAATGGTGGCATCTTGCCATGCTGAGCTTCCAAATCGAACGCGCTTCATGGCAAAGTCCATGCTCATGCCAAGGGCCTCGATGATCGGCCTTCCTCAAAGCATAGGCGTGTTGCCAGGCAAGAAGATCTGAATGGTCCCATAGCGGCCATCCAAGAAGACAGGGAGGTGCGTCGACCAATTCGACCGAGCTGCAGCGTCGCCTCCGAACTGGAAGCGCCTCTTGCCTTTTGTCATGGCAATGGAGTCGATGGGAAAACCACAGTGATGTTCAAGACGAACCAAGTAACGGCGGAAAGCAGCGTAGCCCGAAAGGAAAGCGCTAGCGCAGGGTCGATCATCGTGCAATCAGGCCGCTCATTGCCAGCTTGGTCTTCAAAGAGAAGGAGTGCGGCCTCAGTGTCAACGGAACTTGCCACGCCCGTGTCCAACAAAGACGGTGGAAAACAGGACCGTGAGGTGGTCAGCAAAGGGAAGGTGACGTAGGGCTTATCCAGAACCTTCCGCTCGAACCAGCGAAGCGCGCAGCAGCCCTCCCCCGGCAAGGGTGGGCTCCGCTACCAATGTCAAGCATTGGTTAGCAAACGAAGTCCACCAGAGCAAAGGGCGCAATGCCAACCACGAAAGACAGGCGCACCACACGAAAACGAAAGGGGACACTGAAGCCCCGCGGCCGAAAACCCTTTTCACGCTCAGAGCCCGCCCTGCGGGCAATCAAAGGTGCAAACATGTTCAAACTCAAGTGCTCAGCGAACACTTCACAAAAACAACAGATTTGTGACCTGCATCTTCAGGAGCTCAGCGTGCAATTGTTTTGCGCTCGGCATCAAGCCTCTCCTAACCCGTGCAAACGCTCCTGATCAGGTCTGCCAGCCTTGGAATTCATACCAGCTGTACCTTCAAATGCTTGAGCACCTGAGCAATTGGGGTAGAGCGCTGCGTGCCAGTTTCAACACATTGATTGACGCTGCTGTAGTGTGTGGTAGGATTTAAAGAGGTCTGGTATCAACCCCGGTGCGCATTTCAGGCGTGCCCCACCTGGTTCTTGATCCATTCACGGTTGTGCGGTCGATATTCTCCAAGCTGGCACAAAACATTGGCAAACGCTGCAAACAACTCGCCGACTACAATGAAACTGGTCACTTGGAATGTTGAACTTTGTTTGCGCAAAGTTGCGCCCCCTTGTTCTTTCTTCACTGCACTTTTGACTTCGACCTTTTTCACAGCGCTGAAACGCAACAATCTGATGGAAAATCATACTCATGCCCGATCTCTTGAAGTTTATGATTTCCGTTCGCCCCTTGCTTGTTCATACAAAAACATTGTCAATGACCTGACCAGATTCAAGAAGATTCTGGTCCATTATATTGCGTGTGGGTGTTGACCAACAGCTTGCAATGAAAACAGCAGTTAGTCACCTCCGCGTCCACAGGAAGGAGTTCGCCCGCTTCCTCAAGTGGGCGCTAGAATCGAAGGCAAAGGTACATGCTACACACAACCCCCTAAATATACTACGCTGTTCCTGCTGCGTTTCCATTAGCACCCCCCACGCAAGGTTGATCTTGAATCAGCCGTTGCGCAGTTAAATACAATGGTAGTGCATGGTGCGGTTTATGAAGGTTGCCGCGACTACAAAGTTTAAGGTTAAACTAAAGCGGGCTTTACAAAATATATGGCTCGGCACCCTCCGCGTTGCGCAAGAAGAATTTGACACGAGAGGTAGTTGAATTGGCCACGCTCAGAAATATTCCACTAGATCTTTGTCAGGAGGTCGTCCCAAAACGAACATCCGTGGTGGTTCGGGGAACTCGTCACTTTTGTGGCTTCAACTGTCGGGTGTACTTGCATCCATGGAAGAGATGTTCGGCGGGCAATCTGCCATTTGGACCGTCTACCATTGCCCTCCATAGCATCCTGCTCAATATCTTGAACGCCACTGTTGTTGAGCGTCTTCTTGGTTTTGACGAGGTCGTAGTTTTGCTGTTGGGGCTTCTCTCTTTCCTTTCGGATCGAGCGATGGCTGCCATGACGAGGATGAGGAAGCACGCAGAGCAGACCGAGAGGAAAGCTCGGGCGCAGCTGATGGCTTTGCTCTTGGTACATTCTCTTCTAATACTAATACTGGTTCAACTCCTCTTCACGCTTCTCAGCCACTCCAGGAGCAATGAATACCATAACCATAGCTCTGGATTCCAGAAGTTCTAAATCACCCTAACTTTGCAGTTGGCTTTGGATCGGTATTCTTGGCCATCTTCTCCACGAATTCGCTGGCTGTAAGAGGTAGTTGAACATCCTTTTGCGCAGAGACCAACAGAATGACACTGCCCAATTTGTTCTTTGCTCTTGAACAAAGAATATCCAATGGATCCAAATGTTTGTGCCCTTTGCGATTCCTCAGGTCATAGCGTAATACGTACGCATAGGTGTTGACAGTGTAGATAGTCTCCACGCATTTCCTGAATAGTTGGGGCATTTGGCTGGACTTGCTTCTTCCCAGTTTCAGACAAAATTCTTTTGTCGTCACCAAGCTCTGCCTTGAAGCTGTCTCCTGAAGAGCCGAACGCAAACATTTGAAGAGCGAATCTGACAACAAGGCTCTCACCATGGAACCTGTGCCAAGCCTCTTCCATCGTAATCTTGCATCTTGCGATGAAGGTTCCCATCTGATCATTGGTGGGGCCCATGACCTCTCCCTTGTCGTCGATGAAGCGCGGCAAACCTAGCGCATAGTCTGAGCATGCAACCAAACGTTTCGTTTCTCCATGAATCTCTTCTTGAAGTCGGAAACTCTTGTTCGATGATAGGCAGGCTGGTACGATGATTTGACATACGCATCTGACCAAATATCTGTCCATCAACGTTGAGAGTCCTATACCTATCTCCTCGCATGCTGACATCTCTGCTTGATCGAGGGGGATGGTTCCTGGTAGCTCACACCACTTTGGCAGATCATTGTAATCCTTCCAGTCACCAGGGTCGAAGGATTTGGGGCCTTGGTCTGAGGTCTCGCTGACGACCTTTCTTCTGACTTTGCGGTTCTGGTCCGGTCCGGGTGGGATTGGTTGCGTCCCATCTCGGCCATATCCTTCTCATCTTCTGAATCCGTGGCATAGTCGGCCTCTTCTGCAACATAGGATGGCGTGAAAAGCTCTTCGCCCAATGTTGTTCCTTTGGGATTCTTGACCGCAAATGGTTCACGGTTGCCATCAGAAATCATCATCAAGGTTTGCAAGATCAACGACTTCGTCACCCACTTCGGTTGGTGCTTTCATCCCCTCTTTGATCTCGATCAGCATTTTTTGAACTTCGACCCCTTTGCCCAGATTCTCGGTTTTCTTTGTTTCATCGACCATCTCCACGTCATCATCCTCTTCATCATCAATGACACGGTGTTGTTGTCGAAATAGTATTCCTCACACCGCAACTCAATAAAGTTCCCATACAGTTTAAGCAAAGGGACAATCTTGCTGGCGTGCGTGTCACGCACGCTGGACATAAGATTTTCCAATCGACTGGCATGAAGGATTCGCGCGTCAAGGTGCGGGCGACGATCTCATTCCACAAACCACGGTCGCGCTCTTTCTCCTCTTGCGATGATACCTTGATGTCGGGATCAGCAATGTTGACGAGGTTCTTGAGTTTCCGGATGTTTGTGTCCTTCTCTTTCCCTGCAGCGATCGCTTCTTTTGCCTTCTCGAGGCTGAGCTGCTTGGTAGCGAGCGCGTTTGGAAAACCTACACCGAGAATAAGATGATCATTGATGCCCCTGACCAACAAACGCTTCAACTCCCCATCTTTGGGATCTTTGTGCAGGCCCCTTTAACGTAGTCCCATGATACTGGATCGAACATGATGGCGTATAGTTCTCAAAAAAAGTGCTCCAAGATGCTTCAGCAACGTGGCTGGAACATAGAGCGCTGCTTGAAACGCGTCGTGTGGTGGTTTCCTTGACCTCAAACTACATCGCGCCAGGGAGCGTAACGGTTAGAGAAAGAACTGTTCCTCACTTGGTCGGCCCCGCCAGGCAATACTCCCAACTTCATAAGGGATATCGCCCGGTGGCCAGACGTGAAATGGAACCTGGAAGCTGCCGCCGAAGTTCTTCGCGCCGATGTCTGTCATGACATGTGAGGCGTGTGTCAATTAGAGCACCATGCGCGTTGTATTGTCCTCATTGTCAGTCGCGTTCGCCGTAATGCGTTCACCTGTATTGTGGGGCGCAGCTGCTCGTACTGCTATTGGGTACAACCATCTTTGACGTTCTGGCTTCTTCTGATGCGATAATAGTCCAGTTCATCTTCATTGTCCAAACGACCCCTTGGAAGTTGTACAGCTGCAACCTGAGATCTTGCACGCTTCTGAAGACGCTTCGAATACCACATGCTTTTGCAGATCATGAGGCACCTATGAGCTCTCAATTCGTTCACTCGCCCACATCTCTTGGCATTGCGGTGATCTCGTCCGTGCTTGGAATTACCGAAGATGTGCCCATGTTCTAGGATTTCGTCAAGGTTGACCCATCCACCTTGACTGCAATGTAGGCCTGGATGTCCTTCTCCTTACCCTGGATAATTCCATTTCTCCCGACACAATGTCTCAATAGTCTATTGAGTCTGTGGCTTACCTGATCAACTTCTTGATATTCCGGTGTTGTTGTATCAAAGTATTGTTCAGGCTTGAAAGCTGGTGGATCTAAGTAGATGGCGACGTGACATGCAACTGGACCGTTCCAATGCTCTACACCGAAGGTGGTACCTATCTGCGCGATAAACTCGATGTTCCTTCGATCGCAAAATGGCTGTATTTGCGCAATGTGGATCTTTGTTTTACAATGCACCTGGCACTATGTCCTGCGTCGCTGTCTCACCATCATCATTGAGATAGATGACTCCGTCGCCTGCCTCTCCTTTGGACATGTGATCGATACAGGGGTCACCTGGAGGTACGTGGTCTTCCCTTTTCTTTGGACTTCGGACCGGCAGGCGGTGCCTCACCATGTCCTCCATCATCTCCACCTTCAGCCCCCAAAATAATTGGTGCTGCGTCTCCTTCATCATCAATAGCTCTTTCTGCGACGCCTTCACGCCTCAACATGTCTGGCTCAAAACGTTCATTGTCACCAAGATCGTCTTCTAAGGGTTCTTCACCATTGGTGACTTCCGGGTGTCCCTCGTGGGCGTCCCTGTGATCTTCATGCCTTCAAACGTATTTTTGATCCTATCGTATTCTGCTTTGAGCGGAGCCTTCTTGCGTCAAACGCAAGGCTCTGGTGAGAAAATGTCTCAAGGCTCCACACCCTATATTGCCTGGACCAACTCATACTTGGTTTAGCCTCATAGCCAGCAGATGCTTACGCTTTTGCAGTATCCTCCCTTGGCTACTTGGCATGAAATATACCTGGGCTCCAAACTGGATCTTCTCTCCACGAGGCTTCTTACCATGCAAGGTGCACCGTGGACTTTTCAATCCTCTCCATACACGATGTTCAATAAATGGGTCACACCTTCCACAGCACGGCTCCACAAGTTCGAACGTAATTACATGTGGCTGTAGTGGTCATCATGAACTGAGTGTTCCTTTCTGAAAGGGAATTGTTCTGAGGTCGCTACATTGCTACTTCAAACTCCGGCGTCTTGTCTGACCTTCCTTAGCCCCTTGAAATGATTTGATCACATCTCCTGCCGCGATCGCGAATCACGAAGATCTCTCCTTCCGGAAAGCCCTGAGCTTCCGCTTGAATGCGCCGCGGAGTGTCTTGAAACGCTTCGTCTGGGCTCTGATACAGGATTCACCGTATGGATTCCTGTATCTATGGGTGAGTAGGCGTTGAATAGTTTTTGCTTCAGCTTTCAATTTTCCCCTCCTTACATTTTGCCTTTTGCAGCTACTCGCGATGAGCACAAAAAGAGCCACACCTCATTTGCAACTTTCTCCACAACAACCACGCATTCGTAGGTCTTGTATATTGTACATAGTGTCGCAGCCTGCCCTAAGGTCTACAGCGGCTGCCTTTTCTGCCTCTTCGGTGCTGCCAGTGAACTGGCTGCGCCGCGGGGGGTATTTTTCACACCTGTTGTACATAT